CCCCAAAACCCCAAAACCCCAAAACCCCAAATTTTAAATATGTAATTGAATTAGAAAAATTAGATCTTCTTCCTCTTAAAGAAGTGGCTGAATTTCTCCTTGAAATTAGTAGTGTCCCCTGATGTTAGCTTCGCACTCATCTGCAAAGACTTTATGTTCTGACTTCAATTGAACTGCTCACTTGTTGGCTTAGGGCCTGTAATGCGAGGAGAAACTTACCTATAGGCTCATGTGACATTCTTTCTAAGGAATTGTCTTGTGAAAGAGTCACATATCTTTCCTTGTCTCTAGCAAGGTTTCTTTGTGAGCGGACCACCTCATCCATTTTGGAAAAAGCCCCTACATTTTCAGCTTGTTCGTTGTGACGGTAAGTCACAGGAGAAGTTTCTAGAAAGTTAATAGAAACCTTACCATCAGCATCTCTTTGAGAGAAAGGAGCTGGGGCAAAATTAGGCACAGATATAGTTCCAGGATGATGATTTAGCCTCTGTTGGTGATATGGGTTAATTGGAGAGTTCTCCTTCTCTTGTATATCAGATTTTCTACTAAAAGAATCAAGATGCTCTGATAGAAGTCCATGCTGTCTTTGAAATTCCTGTTGAATTTTTAAAGCTTTCTCAATATCAATATCTACAACTGACATGGCTTCCTCTGCAGTATTTTCTTCAACAGTCTTTTTGGGAGAGTTCTGAAAATGGTTCTGATCATTTTGACTATGAAGGTTAGTTACTGATGGATATGAGCTTTCCCTTGCAAATTTATGAGATAAATTTAAATCTTTATTATCTTCTTGATTCTCAAAGTTTTGATACTTTTGTTCAACATCGTAATGAGGATCTTCTAGCTTATCTAAGAACCCTATTGCTTGCTTCGCAAGGAAGACTACAAAATCTGCATAAACGACTTCTAGTCTTTCATTCTGGAGTTGCTCAAAATCTGGAAAATTTCTGATTTTACTTGAATAAATAGGTTTAGTGATTGCTCTGATTTTATCAAGCGCTCCTTGGAGGTCTCTAACAATGTAGAGATCTTTTCCAGTATCGTATGTTTTACTCAAGAGGTCGATTCTCTCCTGTAGTCTTCCTTCCTTTTGCTTATGGATTTCTTTGAGCTCATAAATGATCTTATCGTGACTGGTCTGCATATGTTTTATCTCAGTAGAGTGTATATCTTTCAAATTAAGAATTTGTTTTTCCAAACTTTTTACTTCATAATTGCCGTACTCATATGACTTGATCTTGTCCTCAAGCAGCTTATTTTGTGCAGAAAGCTCTTTGTAGCTCTCAATATGAGGATTCTTAGCATAACCTTCTGATAGTGGAGGAGCTGATGGCAATTCGTTGAAATGCTTTTGAACCTTAAATAAAGAATTTTCAAATTTTTGAGCTAAATTATCAATTTTATACATGAATTGTGAAATTGTGAGAGAGAAATTCTCTTCTTTGCCTGTACTTTTCTCTGAATACCTCAGACTTTTCAGCCTTTGGAGATCTATTTTCTTAATGTCGCTAAGGATGTTCTGCTTGACATAGTCAAGGTCTCTAATGGATCTGGGCTCGTGAGTAAATGAATCCTGATTTTTACAAAATTTCTCAAAGTTTAATAGCTTTTCAAGTAAACTCTCCACAACTAGCTCGCTCATAGAAGTGATATTATTTTAACAGAGGAAGATAAGTGAGAGCAGAGTCTATTGACTTGAAGCTTCCTTCATCTGATTCCTTTCCTCTTGATCTACCTGATGAAAGCCCTCCTGGTTCGGTCTTATGAGCATATATTGACTCATTAATGGGAGAAAATGGCAAATCCATCTCTTTATATGCACTTTCTTTTAATATATTGTACTTTGATACAATCTCTGGGGGTATCTTCATTGAGAAGAATAGATTTTCTAGCACATTCAGTAAGTTAATAGCAATTTTGGTACAATTTTTTTCAAGATAAATCTCTTTCTTTATATTAAGCTGGCTTTCTCCCTCGTCCATTTAAATTTTAAATTTTCAATTAATGAAGATTATTCAGGGGTTTTGGGGTTTTGGGGTTTTGGGGTTTTGGGG